AAAATAACATTTCTCTGAATGACTAATTTGTTGTTTAAAACTCCTCATATGAGTGTCTGCATGTTTAATTCAGTTTAGACAGTTTGCAAGAATGTTTAGCGTCCGTTAACACTAGTACACGGATCTGTTGAACAATAAGTTACAGAATGAAATGAAATGCAAACACTAGCCATGAAAAAGTCCATGTTCATTCTGTATAATAGATACATTTTCACAAAATCATGCTAAAAACATTCATAAGGGCACTAGACAAAGTTAAAATCTATAAAGCAATGGTTATTAATGAAAACTATAACAGTAATGTGTATAGTTGCATGAATAATAAACAACTGATAAATTTATCCACCCTAACCTATAATAAAGTATTAACAAATTTTGATGCAATAAATATGGTATAATTTAACAATGTTCATCCCTCTAAAACAGAAAAAAACATCTTTCACAAACATCTACTTGTCTGTCTCTATTAAAGTGTTTAGTGTATATAATGAGTTGTATTTGTAGGGGTTATTATAGTATAATCCTAAAGATTCACTCGCTCATTTTCAAACCCTGATTACAGTCTCTTGTCTTCATCTAACGGCGGAACAATGTAACTAACAGATCGCTTCTCGATACTAAATATCTAGGCTACTATTATTAATTAGGCTAGTACTATTATTTATATAAATATATTATTTATTGAATAATAATATTTAATAAACAACAACAGTCATCATGAAAGTTGCTAAGCAATTCAGTCAAACGCATGTGTATTACTGCCATACGGCCATTACTTTGTGGCTGATAACAATACTATTGTAACATTGAAACAAACAATTTCTGTAAAGCTGCTTGGAAACAATATGTATTGTGAAATAAACCTGAACGGAATCAAATGTTTATTGCTTTTCTCTTATAACTGTTATAATGTGTTTATAGGACTTTCTGGAGACTTTGCATCATTCCTGTTCCATTCATACAATCAGAGCCGGTTCTAGACATTTGGAGGCTCTAGGCAAAATTCATGTTAGAGGTCACCCACTCCCAATAAAAAGCATATGAAACAAATATGATTCCCAACCTTTTCATTTGTACAACATTTAATTTTAAAATTTGGCCAAATTCACTATTCACTCTTTTAGAAAGGAGCATTTTCATCTCGCATTTTTTCTGTCATTGTTTGCAGGAAAAGTTTTGAATGCAAATGAAGCTGCATCTCAGTTAGTGGTATCTATGCACTAGAATGAAAGACCGGTTTCTATTGGTCACTCTTGCTTGGCGTGATAGTTAAGCCACACTCACTACACAATCCCACCAGTCAGGCAGAGAATAGCACAAACTCCACGAAAAATGTCTTCTGGACAACTCCAAGAGACACAAGCATAATCAATTGTGGAGATGCATAAGATGACTTTTGCCTTTTGAATAATTAGAGCCTCCTTGTGTAGAGGATTGTGTAGGCAAACAAATCCAAATTCAGAAATAACAGTTTGCAAGCTTGAGTAAAAATAATTTCAGCTTCACATTGTTCTAAAGTTCGATGTAAAATGGCAGCTATGACGATGTAAATTCATATTGTGGCAATAAGTGGTCAGGTAGGGGAAGTTACCAACAACAATGGATACAAATCGACTACGCCACCCGGAATATACTGGGACGTAACCCTATACAAGGGCACACAGGTTCGTTGGCAAAGGCAGGGTGAGCATGGAGACATAGGCAAAGTATAAAAATTAAGCCATTTATTTATACACAAATGAAACCGTTTAACACATTGGTTTTTATACACAATCTTAATCAAATCAGATACACAAATCTACCAGTTACAGAAATGACCAGTAGGAGAGAATTGGCCAGCGGGGGCCTTTTGGATTTTCACCTCACACCATCCCCACACCACACAGTTGTGAAAGCAATACAATTGGTTGAGCACCGCACTCCATGTGGACATGCTAAAAGACTACAACCCCCGCTCATTTACTCCTAAATGACAACATGGTTAACCGGTACAAACTTCAAAACACATTCAAAAATACAAAACTCACTTTCATACCACAACAGAACAATCTACTCCAAAAAGAGTCCATATACACAGATTCGACAACTACTTGTACAAAGAAAAACAAAAAAACAAAATAACAAAATGGCCGACCAAGGCCAAATATTTTACTTGTCTCCCTGCTAACTCACACTCAAGTTAATGAATGACTGCTCATGGATGAATAAAAGAAAACCCATACAAACCAAGTTAACCAAAATAAGACCAAGACAGACAAAGTTAAAACAGTCACCCAACAAACACTACAAACAACAAAGCAGCAGTGCAGTCACATCTCTGATGTACAGTCGTCTCCAACCAAGTTACTGGAAACCCCTGGATGTGCAGTTACACCTGCTGAACATAAAACAGATTATCTACAATATTACACTCATTAGAACACATGACAAGCTCCCATCATACATACCGAGAGAGATTTACCATGTAGCAAAATGCATGGTAGCTCATCACGCAAGACCACGGCCACTAGCATGCTGATGACCAAAAGAAAAATGACAAATAAAGACTCTCCTTATATAAACAAAACAATCCTTTTTATAACTGGGAGACTAACCTGAAAAAGGCTTAACTGCTAAAACACAACAGGAGGATGCACCAAGACCCATCCCTTGTTCATAATGACTTCCTTCCACAAAGGTCTAGTACCAAGCATGATGCATCCCGAGTAATCAAACCCTTCCCTTTTTATATTATCAAATGCCAACACTGATAGGTTCATAGGATTTAAACCATGTTAACCAATCATGGCATGACATCAGCCAATCATACCTGGGCTATACCTTACCCGGCTACAATATTGTTATTTTTTCTAAATGTCTGACTATATGCACTGCATTAAAACTAATTTATTTTCAGATTAAGAATCTGATATGATTCATACCACATGGCTGCATGAAGATGATGATGACAGCGTAGATGATTCAAGTGACATTAAAAAGGCATTACACAAGCCACGGAAAGTCAAAAGGGATACTACAACAAAGCCAACTGTCCGCCTTGCATCAGCTAATGTGTCAATACGCAACACCATAGATATGATTGACACGTTTGATAGACCAGCAGATACCAATGCAGAAGGCACCTATGCTCGAAGCGGAACATATGCAGGAAAGAGGATTCCCAAGGCTGGATACATTGCAGAAGCAGGAGTTGGAAGAGCTCGTGCTGAAGCCAGTATATTTGAGGCTGAAGCCAAAGGCCCAAACACCTCAGCTGGTGCAGAAGCTAGGTGGTTGGAGTCGGAGCAATGGCTCAAGCTGAACTTGCCAGTGTATCAGCTAAAGCTGGTCCAGTTAGTGGAAAATTGGGACTTGGAGTTGACACGGGTGCATCTATTGGTCTGGATGGGTTGGAAGTCAAAATACTGGGAACTGGAATCTCAATTGGTCCAAAAACCTGTATATCTTTTCTGGGTTCAGAAGTGTCATGTTCAGTCATGTAATAATGAAGGTATGTATTACTAACGAACAGCAAAGACAAAAACTGAAACAGAAAAAGTAAAAAAAAAATTTTTTTAAAGTTTTTTAAACGTTATCGAATTTTAAAGAACTGTTGTTGAGTTATAAATACACAGAATTACATTTATTACAACAATATTACAAAAGATAGTTATATTTTAGATTTTATAATTCTACAATTGTTGAGACTCTTGTTTTCATTTAAGAATAAATATTTGTATTTGGTTATGCAGGTGTTTTTAATTCGATTACGCCAACTCCAGTTTGGATCCAATCTTTGTGAAGACTTCAGATGACGCCAACTTTAGATCGACGTACAGAACTGTCAGATATTATCCTTATACTGTAATCATTATGAGCACAGGTTGTAATTGTTGTCTAACATGCTTGTTGTATCTGCTTAACTGAATATATGATGTTACCTACCACGTAACATTATATATATATTGCGCACATATTACTCTCATCTGTGGCTGATAACAGAATACTTACCAACTGTAACACTGAAACAAGTATTATCTGTAACGCTGCTTTGAAATG